GGCAATGTGGCGCTCATGTCTCCACATGCCGCATCTCAATTACCTTCCCAAAGGTAATTGCCCAAGCATATAGCATTTGATAAATATGAGTATGCATGATTCTAGAATAGCATTTCTAAGCAATTGTCATAATTGACTAGGGACTCATACGTAATCATGGTTACAAGGATTTTAAGGGTAAACAATAATCAAGGCATGGCATAATCACAAGTAGGATGTTCATCATTGCATGCAATTTTATTTGTAAATAAAACAATTTCGCAATTAGGATCAACATGTTCAAGGAATAGTGATGACTTGCCTTGCTCAGGATAGTCCTTATTCTTGATATAATTCTTGATCAACCTTCACCTCCTGGAAGTTGCTGACGTTGCCTTACGACTAACCGATACATAAATTCTATAATACGCAAGAAAAACCAATATTCAAATAACAACCAAATATGCACAACAAAATATACTATTCATGTCTGCTAATGGATTCCAATCATGCTAGGGGCTAAGGTTTCTTAACCTTTCTATTGTCAACGTGGCCTATTTAGGAGTTAACCAACATAGCATTTATGGGATACATATATATTTGGCTAATCGGTGGTTTAGTCTATCAAATGGCTTATGGAAGGATTATGGCTAAGCATGCATCTATCTAAATAGGACGGTTATATACTAGAGGTTCTGTTGTTAGATGGATTTAGGATCAATCAAATAATTACAGTGAATCATTTGTATTATTTATTTTATTGATGGAAGCTTTACTTTAGTTATGAACATATTTTACTTGCCATTATAAATTATAAAAGGGCTAATAATTATCCATGCTCTATATGTTAAATTCGGAAAGTTTATAATATTATAGTTACAGATTATCTCTTAATGAACAATCTGGAGTTACAATTGAACTATGAACATATGAGGTCAAGATTTATAATTAGTACTTATCAACTATTCATGTTTGTTATATACTCCCCAGTTTGATATATGAAAAAGATAAATTAATTGTGTAACTATAATGGGATGTACAATATATGTGTGCAACAACGTATAAGGTTTTGGTCGTCTACTGTACATGAGCTTATTTAGAAAGTGTACTACCCAATGTTCCAAGTGATTCCTGAATATATTGTAGTTTAATTATACATTAGCTAGTTTCTATGAGTGATATTGTATATGTGATGCGACAAGTTTAAGCACTGGTTCTATTGGGTTACTAATAAGTGGTAATCAATTTAGGCATATATATGCTATTCTATATGGTATTGCATCGATTAATTTACTTAGTGATTCCTTCACATCTAGCTCTATTATTATTCTCCTAAACAGGTTAAAGATTCATCTATGTGTGTTTATATTGTAGTTACATAATCATAAGGCTACACTTGATTTAAATATCCTATAAGCCATGGCCATCGAATATTAAATAAGTACTAGTATTTTCCTATACATCCATTCATTTGATACATCACATAAAATTAGTTTGTGTGGTTGTTACAGTGGCAAGACATGCTAGAGACAAATATTATTACATCTACTCTACTGTACAATACTAATTTTATTTATTAACATATTTTTAAGTTGACTATTATGCATCATCTTGATATTAATTATTTAATATTTATAAATATATTTTATCAAATAGTGAATTATATATCATTGGAAAGCTTATGATTTTAGATGAATTTAGGTTCAAGTTTCACTCAAATCGGAGCTAAAATGAATAAGTTATGCTAGTGTAAAGATTCAAATTTGAATAAATCCGAGAAATTGTAAAAAGGCACTGTTCCTAATTCATTTATTTATACTACAACCTTATCCACAAGCTATAGTGATTGACAGGTGGGGCCCACTCTACCCTCTCTTCTCCTTCCTCTCTCTCTTTTCTTTTCCTTTCTCTCTCTCTTCTTTTTCTCTTTTCTCTTTTCTTTTCTTCCTTTTCCTTCTCTCTCTCTTCTTTTTCTCTTTTCTCTTTTCTTTTCTTCCTTTTCCTTCTCTCTCTCCCTCCCGGCTTCTCCCTTCCTCTCTCTCTCGGCTCAGGCTACCCGGGGCGGCGACGGCGGCGGAACGAGGGAAGGGGCGGCGGCTTACCGATGGCGGCGGCGGCGACGGCGGCGCAAGGCGAGGCGACGCTCGGCACGGCACACGGCGCGGTGCGGCGGCACCGAGGGCGGCGACGCGGCGGCGCGTGGAGAGGGGGAAGAGGGAGAGGAGGGGGAAGATGGAGTGAGGAGAGGGGAAAAGGAGGGGAGGTGGTGAGGGTGGTGTGGAAAGCAATGGACGGCGGGGGAGGGGGGGGGTTTATATAGGCGGAAGGGAGGGGTGGGCGGTGCTTAATGACGACGGCGACGCGGCGCGGCGGCGTGGGGCGCGATGGTGACGGGACGGGCGACAGCGACGCGCGCAGCGCGGCAGGGGCGCGAGGTGGTGCGGCACGGGGCGCGACGCGGGAGCGACGGCGACAGCGCGCGCGGAGGGGAGGGGCTCGAGACGAGCGGTGACACAACGACGTTGCGCGGCGACGCGATGCAACGGCGACAAGACGCGACGCGCGGGGCTCGAGAGCGACGCGACGGCGTGGCGACACGACGGCGCGGCGGCGCGGGGCTACGCGCGGCGGGCGAGCGGCGCATGGTGACGGCGCGCGGCGCGATAGCGGCGATGGGACGGGCGCGCGGCGGCTTGGGGCGCGAGGCCGACGGTGACAGGCGAGCGGCGCAGCAGCGACGGGGCGGCGGGCGCGACGACAAGTGATGGGAAAGAGGGAAGAGAAGGGAGGGGGTGACGCGACGGCGGCGCGGGGCTCGGGGCGGCGCGGGGCTCGGCGCGCGGTGAGGGCGACGGGCGACGCGGCGACGGGACGGCGTGGCGCGGCACGGGGCTCGGCGCGCGGCGATGGCGACAGGGCGGCGCGGGGCTCGAGACGACGGCAACACGACGGACGCGGCGCGCGGCGTGGGGTGCGTGGCAGCGGCGGCGCGCGGCGCGAGGCAGAGACGGCGACGGCGCGCGGCGCGGCAGCGGCAACGCGACGCGACGGCAGGCGGCAGAGAGAGGGAGAAAGAGGAGGGCTGGGTTAGGGGACCATGTCGAGCACCTAGAGTGCAATGAACAGTGCCATTTTCTATTTAACCCGATTTTAGTTTATCCCTTGTATAATCTCATTCTATAAATCCTAATTTTTACATAAATGAGGTTTACCCAATATATGTTTTAATTTAGATGAAAGTTTACCAAATTTTAATATTACCCATATTTTATTCTTATATATATTTTTCTATTGTATTATTTAAATGAGGTCTAATTCTAAAATTAGCCCAGATAATTTTGGAGGCTTTGAGGGTTCTAAAATATCCTAGTGTGGCCCTTATTATTACAATAGCACATTGAACTTATAGCAATATATTTTAACCTGTTGAATCTATTTATTCTATAAATAGTATATTAAGACTCGGTACAACATTAATCTAATTTTAAACACTCACATATTCTTGTTTATATATAAGGATTAATTTATTTATATGACCATTATTTTATATGAGTGATTTTCCTGTCATGAGTAACTCGGCGACATGTTGCAAGTATCAATCTATATATTCTGGTGGATTACTTATTTATAAACACGATCACTATAGTGGTGATCATCATTTCATGTGTTCTTATATTTCATGTGAGATTCGATTCAAATGAATTAGATTTAATCTTACTATTTCTTTAGCTAATTGTGACATCAAGCTATCAATCATGGTTCGAATATTTAATACCTGATTTGTAATTTGTAATAGAAATTAATATTTGACTTAACTATCTTGTGCATAATTATTTGTAGGATTAACAATATTATATTCTCGTAAATTTATCTATTACTTAAATTTTAGATCCTTACTTTACTTTCTTTGTAATCATTTACGGTTTGGCGAGCAATAGCAATCATAACAACCAGCATGATGCAAATGTTTTAAAAAAAATTCAAAATTTTAGTGATTTTTATTGTCTTGAATTTTCAGGATGTTACACTAAGCACACTTCATGGTGTATGCCGGCAAGGCTAAGGTCACAAGCTTTTCATCAATCCCATCTGGCAATTACCTTTGCGGGTGATTCCCGCAACAACGGCGAATCATCGGATCCCGCAACAACGGCGATCCACATCATCTAATCGGATTCCGCAACAACAGCAACCCTCATCGCTAGCCCACGCTCACAGGATTCGCGGAAGTCCTTAAGCCCGTAGGATAAAGCCATTAAGAAAGAACTACTAAGCCAGCCTGTCCCATTCCAGGTCATATGGTCGACACGATCGCTACGGCGCTTGAATGCCATATAACAGTTGTTGTTTAACCTTATGATGATAAATATATGCAACTGAATCCCCACCACATGGCAAGTTCAGAATACATCTATAGTATGATCGACTGCTCCACCAGTCAATCCAATCCATCAGCATATTTATTTTCATTATAGAAAGTATAATTTAATGCAAAGTGATACATATAGATTGCAATTACAAAAATATAACAAGAGATGGTCAAAGATGCTGGACTTGCCTGAGATACCCGAAATCGAAGAACAAATAAATCAATGAAGAACTCCAAGAATTCCAAGATAAATACCCAACTGTAAAAATATGGCGAATTAGAACTAAAACCAAGAATGTAGATATTAGTATGCTGCACATGATATGCCTAACCTTAATATTATAGTTGATCTACAATGACTATAGGTTATCGACACTCACCTCAAGACTCGACTAGATGACCCCTATGTATGTATTTTTAAGTAGAATATGGTTAAATATATTTGTATATTTTGATTTGGTAAAGATCTATGATTTATATAACAGAATTTAGTTTTGGACTAAAATATCTGCTGTTAAAACAAACATCACTACACTTTTATTTTTAAGAGAGTATAATTATTTTAATTGAAAGAAGTTTTTACTTTACTTGAGAGAGATTTATATTCAATAATCCTAAAATTCAATAATACCATAAACAGCCCACATGACCAAGCCCAAAAGAAAAGCCCACCTAGACCCCGTTCTTCCTCTTCTCTCCTTTTCTCGTTCTTCTCCTCTGCCGCACGCTCTCTCCCAGCGCCGTCGCTCACACCGCCGCTCCCCCTCACGCCAGCCGCTGCTCCCTGCCTCCGGCAGCCGCCCCGCAGCTGCTGCCTGCCTGAATCGGTTCCGTGGCTCCTCATGAGTCTATCCCCAAATTAACCCTAGCCATCAACCCCTCTCCAATCGATGCTGCTGCTGGCTACTGCTCTCAACGACTGAGATTGGAATTTCCCCAGCCCCAGCGCCCCTGATTCGAGCATGGCTCAGACCAGCCGTGTCTCCCCAAGCTCCTCTTCTCTAATCCCTTCTCTCTTTTCTTCTGTGATGTGATCTAATTGGTGTTCTCTTGTGTGGTAACCTACTGTGAATTTTTATGCTTGTGAACTAGTCCTAATGACCAACGTGATGATGCTATACTCAGGATTATCCTGCTGTCTGTAGGGTTCCAGATTGATTGATTTGCTATAGATGGATGATGACTATATGCTATGGATGAATGAATGAATGCTTACATAATATATCCTATGAAAATGCAGTACTGAAATTAAAAGCACACTAACATGATTTTGTCCTTATAAATGTGCTTGCATATAGAATAACCGAATTTCTGAAATTAGTGGCATATTAGCAGGATTAAATCCCTAAATTAGGTTTATTGAATGATGCAGCAACTTACATGTTCTATAATTTGATAATTATGGCAAGATCTGTACTATATATAGTTGAATTATAACCTATGAAATCTAACATTGAATATAAAGAGATGGTGACTGATTTCTTAAATAATTTACTGCTATTGACTATATGTCCTGACTCTTGCCTCTGTATAATTTACTTGATTCGACTTATTCCTGCAGGGAGAAATTAGACTTATTGATGACCTAACTATACTATGGTTTTTATTCAGATATTATACGCTATTGTTTCCTGAGAATTTTATAAACTATGATAGCATACACTTAAACTCAAGATATATTTGTGCACACTAAAAGATGTCATTCTTTTCTCTAAATATGTTCTACTCTTCCAACTGACCTACAATTGATACCTATTATTCTGCTAATGGATCCTATATCCTCTATTTAGTTTCTAAACTAAGAATAGATCATTGCCTACCCATTTATGCTCTGTCTATTTAACTTGAAATACTAGCACAATATTGATCTTACCTTAAGCTCTTGAGGTTAAATAGAACAGTGATTATTTCTAACTATGCATGTAGTCAAAATTCATCCTATGATAGCTTTACTGAACATTGATTTATAGAACTATATACAGATATAATCCTTAGCTCAATTGCACTTGTAGATCATTAGAAATAAATCTTGCTGTTAAATATGTACTGAGATGGCTGGTCTGTACTTGAATTTTCCTTCTAAGACTCCACTGAATTTAGGATGATATTATCCTGTCCAACTACTCATAAAAACTTTGCCTAGCTTATTGAACTAAGGATGCACATTCAGTAATATACCCCAACACCTAGTACTAGTATATCCACAGATCAACATGGCTGCCATCTACTGAGTTCATTTTTCAGGTTTAATGGATATAACTAAGGGCATGCACACAACTCCTAAACATACTATTGAAGATGTTCCTGTAGTGCGAGATTATCCTGATGTTTTTCCCGCAGAATTGCCACGGATGCCACCTGAGCGTGATGTAGAGTTCCGTATTGATCTTGTTCTTGGTACACAACCTATCTCCAGAGCCCCGTACCAGTTAGCTCGTCCTTTCCAAGAAGAGTTGAAGAAACAATTAGATGATCTATTATCCAAGAAGTTAATCCGACGGAGTGTGTCGCCATGGGGCGCACCTGTTATTTTTACTGAGAAGAAGGATGGAAGTTGGCGTATGTGTGTGGACTATCGGGCCTTAAATGCTGCGACAATCAAGAACAAGTACCCATTGCCTCGTATTGAGGATTTGTTTGATCAGTTAAAGGGAGCGAAGGTGTTTTCTAAAATTGACTTGCAATCTGGTTATAACCAAATTCGAGTGCGAGAAGAGGATATTGAGAAGACCGCATTTTCCACGAGGTATGGGCATTATGAGTATAGAGTAATGTCTTTTGGGCTGACCAATGCTCCGGCCTATTTTATAGAGGCGATGAATAGCATGTTGCATAGCTTTCTAGATAATTTTGTGGTGGTGTTTATTGATGATATTCTGATTTACTCCAAAGATGTAGAGGAGCATGAGCGTCATCTGAGGATGGTACTAGGGACCCTACGAGAAAACAAGTTCTAATGTAAACTGAAGAAGTGTGAGTTCTGGCTTCCTGAAGTGGCTTTCCTAGGGCATGTAATTAATCAGCAAGGTATCTCGGTTGATCCAAGCAAAGTTTCAAGTGTTGTCGGATGGGAAAGGCCGACTAATGTTAAGGATGTGAGGAGTTTTTTGGGTATGGCGGGGTACTACCGACGCTTTGTGAAGGATTTCTCGATTATCGCTAAACCTATGACGATGCTCACACATAAGGATGTGAAGTTTCAGTGGACGGACCAATGCGAGCGTAGTTTCCAACAATTGAAGCAGAGGCTGGTAACTGCTCCGGTGCTTACTTTGCCCCAACCTGGCAAATGTTTCACTGTCTATTCCGATGCTTCATGAGTAGGCCTTGGTTGTGTTCTTATGCAAGACGGCAATGTTATAGCTTATGCGTCTAGGCAGTTAAAGAAGCATGAGCAGAATTACCCCACTCATGATCTTGAGCTTGCAACAGTGGTCTTTGCTCTCAAAATATGAAGGCACTACCTGTATGGAGAATCTTGTGATATTTTCACTGATCATAAGAGTCTGAAGTACATCTTCACTCAGAAGGATTTGAACTTTAGGCAGAGGAGGTGGCTAGAATTAATAAAAGATTATGATCTCAACATTCAGTATACCCTGGGTAAGGCGAATGTCGTTGCAGATGCTCTAAGCCGTAAGGTTGTTCCTCTAAATGTGAGTTGTTTGATAACTGATTTTGAACGGATGGATATCTCCTATTGTTATGTTGGAGTGGCGAGTACCGAGTCACGAGTCATTCTTGAGTCCGCCATACCCCAACGAGTGCTAGAGGCCCAACAACACGATCGGTTGCTGCAACAAGTTAAGAAACGTGTAAAGGAAGGAAAAACTGGAGATTTCACTTTGGATTCCTCGGGAGCTGTGCGATTCCATGGGCGTTTATGTGTTCCACAGAAAGCTGAAGTCAAGGAAGAGATTTTGCGAGAAGCACACTGAACACCATATACTGTGCATCCTGGGGAGAACAAGATGTATCATGATCTGAAGAAGATCTATTGGTGGAAGAGGATGAAAGTGGATGTGGCCAAGTACGTGGCATCATGTGGGGTATGTCAGCGAGTAAAGGCTGAACATAAGAGTTCTGCTGGAAAGTTACAATCATTGGAAGTTCCTGTATGGCCTTGGGATGATATTGCTATGGATTTCGTGGTTGGGCTACCTCGAACTCCACGAGGGAAGGACGCCATCTAGGTGGTTGTAGATCGTCTGAGTAAGGTGGCACATTTCATTCCTATCCGCACCACTTATTCTGCGAGTGACTTGGCACCGATCTATACACGCGAGGTAGTGAGGTTACATGGTGTGCCTCGCTCGATTGTTTCTGATAGGGATGCTAAGTTTTCTTCTAAGTTTTGGGAATCTGTGCAAGAGGCATTTGATACTCAATTGAAATTCAGTACGGCTTTTCACCCTCAGACTGATGGTCAATCTGAGCGGATGTCACGCCCTGAAGTACCCCTCCCTCGCTCTAAATTCATAAAATAAATCGTCCGAAGAAATTGTTTAATTTAACCTAGAGAGAAACCCTAATTTAATAAATGCAAATAATAATCGGAATCGGCATGTGGAATTTTTCTTGGGTTCTACATGTCAAAATACGCTAACAGGATTTTTAGTGGAATTTTCAGAGCCTTGGAAATAATTTTAATCAATTAAAATAAGCAAAGTGCAATATTAAATCCCTGGGAAAATCCTTTTTCCTTTTTATCTTTTCTTTTCCCTCCTTTTTCCTTTTTCTTGGGCCGTCGGCCCAGTCCATTCACCTCCCGCGCCGGCCTTCCCTCGGCTGGGCCGGCCCAAGCCGGTTCCTCCCTCCCTCCTCTCCCCGGGTCACCGACAGGTGGGGCCCACCTGTCGGCCCCTTCTTCCTCCTCCAGCCGACGGCACCGCCGCCGCCAAAACCGCCACCGACGCCGCCGCTTGCTCCGCATCCGCGCCCCACTCCGCGCCCCGCGCCCACGTCGCCACCCACCATCCCCACTCCTCCCACTCGCGCGTGCACCCCGCAACGGAGGGATTTGAATTCGAATCTCTCTCTCTCTCTCTCTCCATCCCCCACGTCGGCGAGAAATCCGGCCGCCTCCCGGCCTCGTCCGCCCCTCCCGAGCCCATATAAACCATCCCCGCGTTCTCCTCCTCCTTTTTCCTTTTTCCATCGGCCGCTCCCGAGCTCTCCACCGCGCCCGCACCGTGCGCCTACCTGCCGCCGCCATCTCCACCGCTCCGGCCGCCTCTAGCAGCCGCTAGAGCCGTCGCCGCACTGCGCCGTCGACGCCGCCGGGTTCGCAAGCTTGTGCGCCACCCCGTCCGCCGTTTCCCCGGTCAATCTCGCCGCCGGAGCTTGCTTCTCCTCGCGCTCCGGTGAGCTTCCACCCATTGCCGCCGCCTTCGATCGGTTATGTCGTGCGCCATGGACCACCTCCCTCTCTCTAACCCCTCCCAACCTTCTCTCTAGGTCCTCCCGGAGCCCGTCGCCGTCGTCCTCCCGTCTCTCATCGTTGCTGTTCGCCGTCGCTCCTCCCTCGCGCCGGCCGAGCCCCTCGGTGAGAATCGGTCTCCCTCTCTTCCTCTCTCTCCCTTTGCCGCGCCGCCCGCCGCGTAGCGCCACCGCTAGGGTCGCTCGCGCCGCCGCTTCGGCCGCCGCCGCCGTCTTTGCGCCGTCCGCCGCCGCCTCCCGTCGCCGGTTGCCGTCGCTGGCAACCGTGCGCGCGCGCCGCCGCCCTCGCCTTAACCGGCCGGCCGGCTTGAAGCCGAGCCGAGCCACCAGCCGCGCCCCTCCCGCCTTGTGCCGCTGCCAGTGGGGCCCGCTTGCCAGCCGCCCCTCTCTCTCCTTGAGTCACTGACCCGCGGGTCCCGCGTATCGGCGCCACCCCTCCTTGTGCTGACGTCAGCCCTGGGATGAATTATTGCGCAATAAATTGATTAAGGGTTTTTCTTTTATAGTAATAAACACATATAATCTTCTAAAAATCATAACTAATTCATCCGAGCTCCGATTAAGTCCATTCAAGTCTCAGTAAATTCATAAAAATGTGTAGAATCCATTAAAAATGGTTTTGCTTCCTGTTTCAGTAGTCTTATAGCATGTTTTGCTTGTGTGATTTGTTTGTCGCGTAGATTTCGGCCGTTTCGTCGATTCGTGGTTTCTCGAAGACGTTGCTGTGGTTCCATCAGTGCGAGAGCAAGGCAAGTCATGCAATACAATTGATCATATTGTACCCAATTTACAAATATCCCGAATTTCTATTAAATATTGCATTGTTTTACAATATCATGTGGGATGGGTCCTATTACTCGGCCATATTTTGCTTACCTTATGCCATTGATAACTTGGGTATTAAAATGACTAGATGTTGGTTTAGGAGATGCTTAGCCATGCTTAGTTCAACTAGTGCACAAAAGGGGACCACATTAAAGCATAGACTTGATTATTGGCAATAGCTTTGGATTAGTGCCACCGCAATGGTGTTGGCTAGTTAAAATACACTACATGGTGGGCTGTGGGTGCATGGTTTTGCTAGACGTGCCCATGGCGATTAAGGACCGGTTCGCGGGATGCCCTGGAAGAATTTATCGTACTTACCACAAGCCAGCGTGGGCAACGGCTGGGCTTGTAGTGTAGCTTTTCTCTAGCCGACGTACCCAGGCGAGGGTGGGCGTGATGGAGTTGGGTCGGCCGGGGTGTCCGGTTGATCGGCTGCCGGATTCACCGCGGCACGAAAGGGGGGCTGCCCGTTGCCTGCTGGGGACGGGGGCGAACCCTAAGGTGTGGTGCGATCGGTTAGAGGGGGTTATACGAAGGGTCCTGTCACGGCCTCTTTCCGGTATGTCGTGGTGGCATGTCGGCGCACGGGAACGTGTCGTGGGGCTGTGTCTTGTGGGTACAGTTGTACACCTCTGATCAGAGTAAAACTATTCGAATAGCCGTGCCCGCGGTTATGGGCGGTCGACCAGATTCACCGTGATTAGTTTCACCCTAGTGTAATCTTTTGGAACTGGTTAGTTCAGGTGGTGGTTTGGGCCTGTTGCAACGTGGTGTAACGTTGGACAGTGATTGGTTAATATGGATTAATTACTACAACTGTTTTACTGCTTTCAACTGCTGCTTTGAAATGCCGGCTTTATGCAAAAGAACCTTTAGCCTCCCTTGGATATATCTTGCATCATACCTCCTCTTCCGGTATGACTTGCTGAGTACAGTGGGTAGTACTCAGTCTTGCTCTCTTTTCCCCCACACCAGAGTTGAAGTCCTTCCCAGTTGAAGATGACTCGAAGAGGTTGGTTTCGTCGCTGCCGTCAAGGATTGCCTGTGGAATGGAGTCGCCCGCTGCAGGAGTCAAGTCTTCAGGCTTAGCTCGCTTTTATCTTTTTCCGCTGCATTTGTAATCTTTTATATTTTTGTAAGACGTGGATCTGTATGTCAACAATTGTCGTTTGTGTACCCTGGCTGGTCCTGGACAGGGGTTTAATGCACATTCAGCTTAGAAATTCTGGTTCGTGAATTTCTGGGCGTGACAGCGGACCATTCAAACTCTAGAGGATATGTTGAGATCATGTATAATTTCATGGAAAGGCAGTTGGGAGGATCATTTGCCGCTCGTAGAATTTGCTTACAACAATAGTTACCATGCTAGCATTCGAATGGCACCATATGAGGCACTGTATGGGAGAAAATGTCGATCCCCATTGTGTTGGGATTCCATAGGGGAGAGAGCTATTTTAGGACCCGATTGGGTTCAACAGACCACAGAACGGATAGCAGAGATACGGTGTAGACCCCCGTTTTTATAACAGGAATCGTTCGTGTAAGCAGTACCATTTCCCTGGATCAAGTAGTCTGGTACACATGAGTTCATAGCTGATATACCAAATGCACATACATGAGAGTCTAGTGCGAATTATTACATCATAAGCCCGCAGGCATAGTCTTAGAACATCAGACCGAGCGGTCCGGAATACATTCCAAAAGCAGAGTAGATAAGGCAGCGGCACGCCATTGCCACAGGCAACGACCGTAACTAAGACCTACTGAGCGCTGTCCTCTTCATCACCCTCTTGGTAGTACGCGTAGGGATCCTTCGAAACTTCATCTCCGGCCTCTTATTAAGTTTGTATATTGCAAGGGTGAGTACCAACCGTACTCAGCAAGCCATCACAGCAACAATGCACATGATAGGGGTATTCAAAGGATGGCTATGGTTTCTTTGCGCAAAGCCAGTTTTGTAATTCTTTTCACAAGCCTAAGACCTAGCATAGATCGATCATATTTTAGTGCCAGGGTTCACATTTAAGCAACGACGGTTCTGTCCACCATCCATTGTGATCCCAAGGATAGCTTCCCGCCATTGAGTCGTCATGATTTTCTGAGGACATCCCCTTCCCGCCTCTCAGGAAGTGGCTCCAACAGCATAAAAATCATTATGCAATATCCCATCCCACACAAGTTAAGAATTTAAAGTCTAGCCAAGTGTAATACATGTCCCGGTGCTCAATAACCGCGAGCACGGCTATTCGAATAGATTTGGTTCACTCACACTGCAGTGGATGTACACTTTACCCGCACTCTGCGACTGCCCAACATATGAGCCTCGTCCCAACACATGAGACGTGTCACGGCAAAGCTTTTCGATAACCTCGCATTGGCAGTACCCGCTCCATGAACTTTTCATCCTCATGCACTCTAGGCGTACACAGTTTCTAGCAGTGAGAGGAGTTCTGGCGCACCCGGGAAGGGAAGACTCACATATGCGTTAAGTTATAATTATGTTTAAATTATCACATGGCAGTCCTACCGATGGCGACACCACTGTAGACACCCGCCTCGCGGTTCTACCAATGGCTACCCCACCGTAGAGCCCCTGCCTCACACATCAAGAAACCACTATGCATGGATACTGCCTCCGCTCAGCTATTTACTCCGCTAGGTCTATCCCCATACTAGAAGTGCGGTTGTACGGGGGTCGTTTCATGCTTAACTTCATGGCTCGGTCCTTAATTGACCGGGGACGGTACTAGCCTTTCCCAGATACCACCCAAATCCTCCGTCCGCCCCAGTCTAAAATAAGTGTTTAATTTCATTCCTACTTTCACAAATCATGTCATCATTATCATGGCAATGTGGCGCTCATGTCTCCACATGCCGCATCTCAATTACCTTCCCAAAGGTAATTGCCCAAGCATATAGCATTTGATAAAGTATGAGCATGCATGAATCTAAAGTAGCATTTCTAAGCATGTGTCATAGTTGACTAAGGACTTATACGTAATTATGGTTACAAGGATTTAAAGGTAAGCAATAATCAAGGCATGGCATAATTTACAAGTAGGATGTTCATCATTGTATGCAATCTTATTTGTAAACAAAATAAATTTTGCAATTGGGATCAATATGTTCAAAGAATAGTGATGACTTGCCTTGCTCGTAGTCCTGCGGGTCTTGACCCTCGCTCGGATCCGCAACTCCCTCGGGCTCTACAAGTACGTGCGAAGAATTGATTTGAATTCCATTAGAATTCAAATAAAATCCAATAAAGACCAAATCGAAAAGTGAGCGCGAGAGGCGAATTCTATATCAACTACATTATTCGCGAAATAAGACTATCCCTTATCCTTAGATATTTTGTTTTTCCTAAGTAAATTCCTAAGAATTCAACACATTTATTTATCTCTTAAATAAATCTAAATTCTTACCGCAAATTGATTACTCGTAAAGTTTACCAAAATAGTCTATAATCACATTAAATTTTGCAATTCTACGACTATAATTAATCCATAATTAAATTCTAATTATTTTATATTTTCTAAACTTCTTAATTTTACTCAAATGCCTATTTATTTTCTTTCTCTTTCTTTCTTTTTCTTTCTTTTTCTTTCCCTCTTTCTTTTCTTTCTTTTCTCTCCCTTTTCTCCTTTTCTTTTTTTTTTCTTTCTCTCCCTACCGGCTTCTCCCTTCCTCTCTCTCTCGGCTCTTGTCTCCTCGGGGCGGCGACGGTGACCGAGCAAAGGGAGGGAGGGGGGGCTGCTTACCGACGGCGGCGGCGGCGACGGTGGCGGCGGCGGCTGCGACGCACGGCGCGGCACACGGCGCGGCGCGGCGGCACTGAGGGCGGCGGCACGAAGGCGGCGACGCGGTGGAGAGGAAAGAGGGGAGGAAGAGGGGAATGGGGGGGAAATGGTGTGAGGTGGAAAGGGGGTGGCCGGGGAAAATTTATAGGGCGCGGGGAGGGGGTGGCTGGCCCTAATGGCGACGCGACGGCGCGAACGGGGCTTGGGACGACGACGACGCGTGGCGATGCGACGGCGCGGGGCTCGGGGCGGCGACGTGACGCGCGCGGCGGCACTGGGCTCGAGGCGCGGCGACGGCTCCTGGCTTGGCGACGGCGCGTGGCGGGGCAGGGGCGTGGGGCGCGAGGCGACAGGCACGCGACACGGCGACGGGACGGTGGCGTGGCGACAGGCGACGCGACGGCGACGCGGTGCGGGGCGCGAGGCGGCGAGCGCGCGGCGCGAGGCGACGGGACAACGGCGCGGCGATGCGACGGCGACAGGCGACGCGACGGCGATGCGGAGCGGCAGCGGCGCGGGGCGCGAGGCGGCGAGCGCGTGGCGCGAGGCGACGGGACGGCGGTGCGGCGACGGGACGGTCGCGCGGCGGTAGGCGGCGATGGCGATGGCGCGCGGCAGCAGGCGGCGATGGCGACGGCGCGCGGCGGCTCGGGGCGCGAGGCGCGTGCTGCAGGGGGAGGGGCAGGGCTTAGGGAACCTCGTCGAGCACTTACAGCGCAATGAACAGTGACTTTTTTCTATTTTTCCTATTTGGTTGTTTTTGCTATTCAAATCTTGTCCCAATATTTCTAATTTTCGCACAAATGAGGTTCCCCCAATGTTTGAGTTATTCTAATCAGAGGGTTCACCCGAGATTAATATTATTCCTATTTATTTTTATATAATTTGCTTGAATTTAATTAGAGTAAATTCTTATCCCATTGCACCTAAATTTAATTGTTACCAATATGGTCGCGATAATATTTTATTTATTTCCAACCTCACCTAATCTTTATTTTAAATTATATTTTAATCAGTTATTTTGCCAATTTAATTTTAGGGTTTATTCCTAATTAATTATTCCTTATTCACGATCAGTAAACTTTGAAACCAAATTCCAATAAAATAGGCAAATAAAATCAGCATGATGCAATTTATTAAAAAGTTTTTGAAGGCCCATATTTTTAGAGTTTTGATTTTCGTTGGTCGAATTTTCAGGGTGTTACATACGGCAACACATGCTTGCGGCTCAAAGTAGACAGAAGAGCTACGCCGATGTCAGAAGACGGGAATTAGAGTTTGAAGTGGGTGATCAGGTACTTCTAAAGGTATCTCCTACCAAAGGTGTTGTGAGATTTGGAACGAAAGACAAACTCAGCCCCAGGTATATTGGTCCATTCTTGATAGTGGAAAGAGTTGGAATCCTAGCGTATCGCCTTGAGTTACCAGAGTCCATGAAAGGTGTACATGATGTGTTCCATATTTCCATGCTGAGAAAATATTTAAGAGACCCTGAACATCATATTACCGTAGAGTCGGTGACAATTGGGCAAGACTTGACATTTGAGTCTCGTCCTGTAAGAATATTGGAGGAATCTGAGAGGGTGCTCAGGCATAGAACTATCAAGTATGTCAAGGTTCTCTGGACGCACCAGACCGAGCGAGAAGCCACATGGGAACTTGAGTCACAGATGCGGGAGAAGTATCCAGAGTTATTCACGTCTGGTGAGTTATATAAGTCCTACCTATGAGTTCCTTTCCATACTTGTCCAAGGTATAACTGGACGAATTCGAGGGCGAATTCGATTGAAGGAGGGAGGAATGTAATATCCCGTGTTCTAGAGTATGATTGGGCGAATTCGAGGGCGAATTCGATTGAAGAGGGGAAGAATGTAATGCCCTAGGGAATATTAGCACAAACGCGCAAAAGTTCAATTTTTAAACCGTTATTTGAATAGGCGATCAGGAACCGTAGATGCGTAGAGCTCGCAGAGTAGTGCAAAATAGACTATAAGTTTATAAGTTTATAGTAATCGGAGTCCGATCGAAGTTCCGGGGATTAAAACAATGTGGGTCGTTAGATCTTTTCAGTCTCTTTATATAACCAACCAAAAGAAAAAAAAAAGGAAAAAAAGGGATCGAGAGATCGATCCTGTAGCCCTAGCCGCCAGGCTCCTGCGCCCTGCCGCTCCTGCCGCGTTTCTACCACCACCGGCGCCGTCTCTACGCCGCCGCCGTTGGTGCAGTGTCGCCGGTCGCCACCACCACCGTCGCCGCTGTGCTGCTGCTCCGTTTTCTGCTGCTGTTCGGTGGATTGATTTGCAGAGCAGCAGGTTTGGTTCTGCTTCTTGATTTGTGTTTGTCTCCAGCGTGGTGAAGTCCCAATTTCTCCTACTGCTGTGTGTCCTGACCAGCTACTTCGTGAGTTGCTGCAGTAGCCAACAACTAGGGGGCAGGGCAGGAAGAGCAGAGAAGTCAAGGAATTGGGAGGAAGAGAGGCAAGGTTGGGGATTTTATTTTCCAAGATTTCACAAATTGATCTCAAAGTTGATTTTTCTCCACAGTAAGGCTGTAAGGGTAACTCCTTTTAGTCCTAGAAATTCAATTTGCACGTGGGAATCGATTAAATCGCCGGTTGAGAGTGTTCATAGTCGCTATTTATGGGCTGGAAACCGTATTTTCAAAACTGGCGTTAAACCATCAGGATTCTGGTTAGTTGTCCTAAATATAGATTGTAGTCAGCGTCGATATCTTTCCAACGGTGCTAGTTTCACTCGATTCCGATAAACGGTTTAGGAGAAACAGCAAAAACAGTACTGCTGACCAGGTCCAGAAATCAGGACAGCAGTTCGTTTTTCTTAATCTGGGATTTCCAGAGGCATAATCTGATTTTGTGCTCAACATGAAAGTTGTAGACAATTTTGTCTAGATGTCTGAAGTTGTATTATTTGCTAGTTTCCGTTAGACGGTTTGTGAGTTACGCATAAAACAGTAATGGAACAACTATAGGTTATTTAATACAAATCGGTAAAAGGTTTATATGTTCTAGGTTTCGATTTTAGTAAATATCCCTTGTAACCATCGTTAGTTGAATATAGTGGTTTATGCGTAGTTTTGCTCCACAAGTGTGGAGGGTTCCAACGTTGGAGGAGTTGAGTCGGAGTATCGAAGGAGTTAAGGCAAGTACAAAACGGACTTATGTAATGGACAAACTGAGTTGTTTTGTTTGGCTTAACTTGCATAATTATTATTCAATTGCTTGAAATTACTGATTGTATGACTCTGACGTTATGCTACTTATTCGTGTTTCGACCCATATTCAAATTCATGACGTTATTCATGTTTCATTATTCCGGATGTTCTGTTTACATTATTCAAGAACCATGCGTAGACATGGGAGTGCAATTTGGGTCTTTATTCATGATCCTTGAGAAGCGCTGATCACGCTTGCTCGGCTTACCGGTAATGCTAAGAGGATATTCACACCTGCCCGAGAGGGAACTACTATATTTTGACTTTTTTGATTTAAAGTAAAGTAAATCCAACCCTTCATATTGGTTTCTTAATGCATATATCATGTGTATGTTTTACTAGTTCAAGATTGTACTTGCTGAGTATTCTTTACTTACTCTTGTGTTTAATTTGGTTTTTAGGTACCTAATGACATCGATCAACATGGGGCGGGAGTAGCACCCTTGGACTACACATTATTATTGCACACAACTGAAATTTAGTTTTAGATTATACTTTGCTCAGCATAAGTTTTGCATAGAAGTTGTAAGGGTCATTAAGGTTCTGATTCTTATTTTTCACGTGGGATTTGTGGAGCTAGGATGGTTTGGATTGTGTGGATTATATCGGTATTGACTTTTCTTATAACTGCCTGTCGTGGATGTCCATATTTTTAGGGGAGACTGGCGAAATTTCTAATAATTTTAGGATTAGTTTTTGAGTGTATTTTGGTATGGCATTCTAGGTACGTGGTTACTGGGGGTGTTACAGCGTCAACCAAGAATCATGCCATGATGTGATTTCAGTTCCATTTTAATCTTCTAATTACCTGCCATGATTTTAGGTGACTGATATCTGGTTCCCTTCTCTAGTTCTCTTGTTCTGCAGCTGCTCCTCTGGATTCTGATTCAAGGATTCTCCCGATGGAACTCTAATTTCTCCTCTTTAAACTCGGGCACCTCCAGATTGATTTGTACTATGGCATACTAATCCTGGAACTAAAACTCCTTTCTTTACTTGAAACTCAGGTACTTCTTCTTGGCTCTTGCTCTACTGGTACTGCTTCCTGCCATCTTTCTTGATCTGCTGACTGCTACTGGTGATTCTCTTCCTCCTCTTGAAGCCGTCCCCTTGCTGATCTTTGCTCCATCTTGCTTCTTGACTTGAGTTTCTTGCTCCTTCTAAATCTGAAACCCTTGTTCATCCAAGAACTGCACACCCCTGCTTCTCCTTTTACTCCTCTGACCTCCCTCTCTCTCTTACTGATTGCTTTTACTATGGATGCTATGCAGCTATGGTTAATTGATGTATTGATTTGTGCTGGATTTCACTGAGCTACTACAGCTGTTGTTGCTCTTCTAAGCGGAGCCATACTACTCTACTACTGTTGCAACTGCTGCTAATGCTGTTCCTCGAGGTTGTCTCCCAGCCAAAACAACATGATGGCTAGTCTACTAGCTAGGCTAATATTTGTATGTAATTTGTGAGGGCATGGTGATGCAGCTGCTTGCATGTCGGTTTGGAAAAGGATTTGCTGCCACATTTTTCACCTAATCAATTTGGGGTGAAAAAGGTAATTTCCTCTTTGATGTCATTTTGGTGATTACATGGAAACTAAAGTCAGTAAATTATAATTACTGCAGGAAATTGGTTTTATACGTATACCTATGGAATTCTTACATTCTAGTCCTTAAGGTTTCATAATATTTAAGATTTTACTAGAGCTCGAGGGCTGATTGGTAATTGCTCTAGTTTTATTTTCATTTTCACAATTCCTCTATTGATTTGTATATAATAGCTATGAGTTGAGTATGTTACAGAACATTTGCAAAGCATAATATGGATGTATGCATGCATGCATGTATGCAGATATACACTGATCATTTGTGAATAAAGTGTCGTAACTTCTATTGTGATTTTTATTGTGCATATGTGTATCTCTCGGTGACTACTAATGTGCGCTATAATTCATGGGTAGCAACGCGACAATGAACAAAAACTAAATTATCCCACTCCTCACCAGATTAGTCTAACTAACAATAAATCAATGATGCATATGGATATGACTTGATAAATAGATGACAAGGAAACGATCGAAAAAAAATCATTTAAGATCCATAATAGAACAACAATCAACATATTTATAGGTCCTAGCCAGCATCGTGGCTCAATCGACACCGCTCTCAGCCAGTGTGACCAAGTCATTAGCGTGACTAAGACTATAGCTAAAACCCGGGATGTTACATCCTACCCCCTTAAATTAAGTGAATAATTTTATTTTCAATACATCCTACCCCTTAAATTAAGTGAATAATTTTATTTTCAATTGTTGAAGTAATTTTTTTTTCACACAGTAGTATGTATTCCTTAGTCCTATATTGTTTGCTAATCAACTATGACTTATTAAGGATATTCTGTAACAGTCTATTACAGAAGTAAATTCTAAGAATTGGTAAGATCACTATGGTTCAGCACCCTACAATCTGGCGTATTTGTTTAGAATTCTAGTATGTCAAAACTGATAGTATTTCCAATGATTTTTAACACTTTTGACAACCTTCCTGGAATTTATTCTTTTCTCTTTTTTTTTACCAGTCAATCTACCCAAACAATCTTACCCCAACAGTATAATCTCTAATATGGTTTCGGATTGAAGTAAGCATGGTATAAGTAGTTATTGTTAATTGAATTAAGAAAAAAGATCAATATTCCATAAGACATGATATATGTTGGACACCTTAATATTACAATGTGATGCAGAAGTTTTTTTTTAACTAGGGTCCTTAGATTAATTTGCAAGGCAATGATGAAAAATGTTCAATCAAAATATGTCCTTAGATTAATTTGCAAGGCAATGATGAAAAATGTTCAATCAAAATATGCCGGTTCAAAATGTTCCTTATATATGTTGGACACCTTAATATGCCCGGCTATAGCTGCTCTTAACTGTTGGAGAGCTCAACTGCTAAGAGGCTTAGCCGGAGATTTAGAACATTGAGTAATAGTCTCCTTGCTCTCTTAGGACTCAAGTTGGTTTTTCCTTTTTAGTCATATGGAATATGGCTAGTGCGGTGCTGAGAGATAGTATCAAGTTATACAACTGATCAACTAGTGTGTTTTATACAACTGATCAACTAGTGTGTTTGAATACAATTAATGCATTGTTTAATGTATATGATGTCATGCTGTCATGGGTCTTTCGTTCTTTTTAAGGATATTAGTGTTGCTATACCATTACTAATTTGTCTATTTGCATGCAGTTCATCGAGCCTTCAACATTTGAGATTGGCGACAATTACCACTCCTCGATTACTGAAATAAATGAAATGAATAAGAGTCGGTTGGATAGTATGCTGCCGTAGCAGCGTACAGAGAGCTAATTCGCGATATGGGTGGTTTCCGTGCAGCATAGGATGCTCGCAGTTATGGTCTCTAAGTACAAACATGGAGTCACAGTAAGAGGGATGCTCGGTTGGTAACCTGTTCATATACCGAGCCACTCTTACTCAAAGATCGGTCTGTACAAGCATTGACACTATGGATAATACAGGCAGAAGCATGAGGGTCGATAGAGATAGTACAAACCAGAGATAGTAGATGCAGAAAGTTAACCAGAGACAGTACATACATAAGTATGAAGTATGGGCGGTAGGTCCGAAACATATGCGGAAAAATAAAGAGTTAGCACTGTATTGGTTTTTAGTTGAACATCTGTTGTGGTTCTACTAATATGGAGACAAGTACTCCCACCGTCCCATAAAAAAAATTAAATCCTAGGGATGTAAACATAGTGTATGTCTAGATTCATCTATAGTGTATGTCTAGATTCATCTATAGGATTTGATTTTTTTAGGAGTAGTTAAGTAGCGTTGTGATTCTTTTGTGCTGTGATTAATAGCGCCACTGTGTAGAGATAAGTTTTAATAGCAGTTGTGATTCTTTTGCGGTGTGGTTGATGCGCCACTGTGTAGTAGTTTGGCGATTGTGTGATGCTACTACTTACTAATTTTGTTGGTAATTTTGTTCTGAATCTGAGCTGATTCAGTTTTAGCTCAAACTGATACTCAATAAAATTGCGATTCACATGATACAATTTTGCTCTTTGTCTGAACTAAAATTGAGATTTACATGATATGGTTTGTTCTGCTGAGTTTCAGCTGAGTTGGTTGAAGTTTTCTTGTTTTTTATACGTAAACGTATAATTGGTTTGTTCTGCTGAGTTTCAGCTGATTTGGTTGAATTTTTTTTATTTTTTATACGTAAATGTAGAATTTTCATTTTAGTTGTCGTTCCTGGAGAATCGTTATGCCTAGGTCTTGGACGATTTGCAGCTAACTGACGGAGATGCAATTTTAGTTGCATGTCTATTACATCCTTGAGCGAACAATGATCATAAAGAGGAGTTTTTAGCCAAATTTGTTAGAAACAGTCTCATCAGCCAATAGTGTTGGGATGACTAAACATAATTAGAAAAAGAAATGAGAAAAAAAAAGAAGAGATGTTACAATAAATGGAGTTTTCTATTCAATGCAATTATTAATCAAAATAATTAGAGGGAGTTGAGTATGTGTGTTAGGAAATTCATCTGGTGTAATAATCAGCTGAATACAATGTTTGAGAGGATAAAATCTTGGTCTCTTAACAGCTAGTAGGGGAAGTATCCTGTTAAAGTCTGAAAAGGATTTATTCTAATCATGTTCCTATTTTGTTGATACAGATTAGTTACAAAAAAAAAATCAAAATTTAAGTTTAAAAATAGTTGGATGTTGAGGGAAGATGTACATGATATGGTGAGAAAGCCTAGGGGAACACTAAGGAGGGTCTCTCAAGTATAGAAAAATGGCAAAGAAATCTCAGAAATTTAAAGAAAGCTGGGTTGAAATATGAATTGGGAAGGAAAATATAACAGAGAAAAGGACAAATGGTGTGAAAATCATAATGTATGTGTGAGGAGAAGAGAAGAGCGAGGGAGATTGGAGAATCAACTAAGGTTTACTACGAGAGAGGAGAGGCTAAAATGGTTACAAAGGTGCAGGGAGAGAGATGTGTTAGAGGGTGATAATAACACTAAGTACTATCATGCCAAAGCTAATGGGAGAAGGAGGAAAGGTAGGATTTTTTCTTTGCGATAAGAGAATGTGTTGATAGTTGGGCAAGAGTAGTTGCTGAGTTTTATAACAGATTTTTATAAAGATATGTTTAGGCCACCTGAAAGATCTAATATAAGATTACAAAATTTGGAGATGGGACAATTGTCTGAAGATCAAAAGAAAGAATTGTTGAAACCCTTTACTCTGGAAGATGGAAAGTAACAAGGCACCTAGGCCTAATAGTTTTCCTACTGATTTTTATAAACACTTTTAGGAGGTGATAAAAAATGATTTGAAAGCTATGATTGATGATTTTCATAAGGGAATTTTGGATATCAAAAGATTGAATTATGGGGTTATCTCCTTAATTCCTAAATGAAAAGACGCAGCACAAATTCAAAAGTTTAGGCCAATATGTCTCCTTAATGTTAGTTTCAAAATCATAACAAGAACCCTGATGAAGAGGCTAACCTATGTCATAGGTGACGTAATTGAGAAAACACAAACTGCTTTTCTTAAAGAAAGAAACATCATGGAGGGAGTAGTGATAATGCATGAAGTTTTAAATAGTGTTCATATGAAAAAGCAATCAGGAGTTCTGTTTAATTAAGGTGGACTTCGAGAAGGCCTATGATAAAATAAATTGGCCATTTCTATGTCAGATGCGGGAAGTAAAAGGCTTCCCTAGTGTTTGGTGTGATTTGATCATGAGATGTGTTGGAGGGGGTAAAGTGGCAGTTAAGATAAATGATGAGAGAGGGGATTTTTTTTTCCAAACCTATAAAGACTTGAGACAAGGACACCCTTTGTCTCCGCTGCTTTTTGATATTGCAGCGGATGCTCTACCTCTTTTAATGAATAGAGCAATGGAACAGGGAATGATTAAATGGCTAGGGCAGGAATATACAGAGGATGAAATAGTGATTTTGTAGTATGCTGATGACACTATCTTCATGCTGGAGGATAACCTAGAGTATGCAAAAAAAAACTTGAAGTATATCTTGTGTCTCTTTGAACAAATGTCAGGTTTGAAGGTAAATTTCAATAAAAGTGAGGTCTTTTGCTTAGGAGGGGGCCAAGAAAAAGAAGAGATGTATTGTCATATTTTAACTTGTAGAAGGGGTACATTGGCCATGAAATATTTGGGGATCCCAATTGATAAGAAGAGAATTCACAATGTGGACTGGAGCCCCACTAAAAACAAAATTGAGAAAAAACTGGGATGTTGGCAGGGGAAACTTTTGGCTATTGGTGGGAGATTGACCCTGATAAATGCAAGTCTTGCCTTTATACATGATGTCCTTTTATGAGTTGCCAAAAGGAGTAAGGAAAAGAATAGATTTTTTTTCAGATCTAGATTTCTGTGGCAAGAGGATCAAGGGGTCAAGAAATATCACCTAGTCAATTGGCAAATTGTTTGCACTCCTAAGGAACAAGGGGGTTTGGGGTTATTAGATTTGGGTTGTATGAATGTTGCCTTGCTGGGAAAATGGCTTTGGCGCCTGGAAAATGAGAGAGGCATTTGGCAAGATTTGTTATCAGCTAAGTATCTAGGTCAAAAAAAAAACTTTATCTCAAAAAAAAAACCAAGACCTGGGGATTCACATTTTTGGAGGGGTCTAATGAAGGTCAAAAAGAGTTTCTAACTTTTTTTGTGAGAAGGTGGGGAATGGTAAAAAATAGCCTTGTTTTGGGAGGACAGCTGGTTTGGAAGAAGACCTTTGGCTGAACAATTCCCTAATTTGTATAATGTTTCTCTTCGCAAAAATGTGCTGGTGGCCAAAGTAATAGGAGAAGGGTTAGGTAGTCTAAGATTCAGGAGGTCT